TTTATAAATAAAAAGGAAATCCCAGAATGTGTGTGTTTGTGTGTATAAAGTAATAAACTGCTTCTTAAATACATATGTCTGAAAAGGGTCAAAAATAAACAAGACAAATCTCTAGAAGAAAAAAAAGTGGGGAAATTTTATTACCAGATGTCAAAACTTCTTATGAAACTATATCAATTAAGGCCATGTGGTGTTGGTGCAAGACAGATTAATAAATCAGAGGGATAAAATAGAGAATACAGAAAAAAAGTCTGTACATAGTCACTTGATTTATATCAAAGATCACCCTGTAATACAGTGTGAAGAAATATATTTAATAATTAATTCTGTCAATAGGATAACCATATAGGAAAATATTTAATCTTGACAAATACCTCACACCATATGCAAAAATCAATTCCATAAAGATTGTAACTTTAAATGTAATAGATAAATCAATAAAAACGTCTGGGTGAGGTTGAAAGAAAGAAAGAAAGAAAGAAAGAAAGAAAGAAAGAAAGAAAGATAAAATTTCTTATCAATCAGAGATGTGTACAGATATTTAGGATCTGCTCCAAAACTGTCCAGTCAAATTAAAAGCATGAGGGAAGGTGAGGGATTAAATAGATAAAACAGAATTCCCAAAATGTTGATAATATAGCTGGATGATGTAAACATAAGGACTTACTATCTTTACTTTTCTCACCCCTATCACTGACAAAATGATCAAGCTGAGAGGAGTCTGTAGGGCCCAGTACATGCGGCACTCGCAGCAGTGAGAGTGTACACTCTTTGAGCGTCACAAACTATAGAAACTCTCTCTATAGAAAGATTCCATTTAATCCTTCCAGGTCTCCAGACAGGCAGGTAGTAACACCCTGTTACAGGAAAGGTAAAGAAATTCTAGAAAGGTCAACTAATTTATTGCAGAGCTTTCACTTAATGTGAGTTCTGGTTTGCTCTAAAACATGTGCCCTTAATCCCTATACTCTTTTATTCATATACAAATTTCATTAAAAGAATTATATTTTGAAAAATGAAGAAATAAAAGGAAAGAAAAAGAAGGAAAAGAAAATTAAAGAAAAAAGGATTACATTTTCAGAAAAATTACTTTGGACAAAATTTAAAATTCAGCACACTCCCACCTTGAAAAGAGAGGTCGAATTCTCCCTTCTGAACGTGCAGTATTTAGCGAACAGCACTGCAGACGTGATGGGAACCTTGATTTATCAAGTAACTGTGTGACTGCATGCCCTCATCAAAACTCACAGAAGTGCACATCATAAAGAGCAAAGTGTCACCCTGGCTGGTTTGGCTCAGTGGATAGACAGTCGGCCTGGGGAC